TCTGGGGCTCAAACTCATGTCTGCCCCTCAAGGAGGGTGCCACAAAGATCACAGAGTGGCAAATAATGGTCACATGATAAAATACTGCAAATACGTTAATGACAACATGAACTACTGCCCAGATGTCACGTTTCAAGTCCTTTCTCAACAGTGCAAGAAATTAAAAGGTATCATGCTCCTGCTCCAACTTCTGAAAAAGAAGAACCTCCTCTCTATTTCCTAGTCTTTTCCAGCTTACCAACCTGGCTCTGAATTCCATCAACCAAGAATTGTCCCACACTCTGACCACACGGTCAGCTCATTCTCTTGATGACTTTAAGAAGCAGCTAAATGAAATGAACAAACAGCACCAGCACCAGGCAGGGACCTCAGAATCATCTAGCCAATGGTGTTTCTCCCCACAGATGCCCCCAGGCCCCTTCCAGCCCTTGTTTACATTCATGCCTCATTGCATATGAATTGGCATTCGGACTCCTCTTTTTCTATACTAAGGAAGGTAGGAGCTGACCTCTCTGTGGCAAAATGTGGATTTTACAGTCAACAGCAGGGGATGAGCGCCATTTGGTAGACAGCAGGAGTCCCGTCTACATAGCCCGGGGTTTCCAAGTCACCGCAGTCTTCCAACCTTACATTTTGCCAGTTGGGTGCTCTGTGACTTAATCTGAAGGCAGGCACCAAAGTCCAAACCCGTCGTGTTGCCTGGGCATTCGCAACCCTACCAGGCACATCCTGGACAAGAAGGTGCTTGCCTGGAGCACTCATGGGGAGCTCTCTTCTTTCCACTGTTTTGCACTGTGTGCTCTGTTGGCAGCTGGAAAGAACTTCACTACCTCCAGTGGCTGCTTATGGGGTAAAGTTTACTGGGCACGCACTGAACGTGGGCATGAGACCAGTCCCCAGAGCCTAGAGCCGGCTGTCTGTGTACAATCTAGGAGTTCAGAGTTTTGCTTGCAAATCATTACACCTGCTCATGGTCATCCAGCATTTTGGGGAGAGGGGCTAAAAGAGAAATCCTCATCAGGCGCCTAGAACGTCATTGCTTCTCTTTTAGGATTTGTCTGAACCCAGACCTGTCTCCCACGGACAGTTTACACCTCTTATCTGATCATCCACTCCAGACGCAAGGTTGATTGACCGCGTCTGCCCGTGTCCATGGCAATGGTGTTTAAACCCAGGCATAGATCAAAGCTCTGGGGGCGGGAGAGGGAAGGTTGCTGGTTATAGGGTCTGGGTTCTTTTGGCCACAAGCGACGGGACCCGGGGGTGGAGACGTTGGGGCTGGGAGTTGCCACCATCTGAAGAAACCCATTGTCAGGACCTGAACAATTTCCTGAGCAAACCGCAGACCGCCTCCTCCCCCCTCCCCCAGCAAAGGGGTGAGTAGTGCCGGGCGCTGACTAGGAGGGGCTAGCGCCAGGGGGCTCTCCTCTCTGTCTGTAGCCGAAAGGAAAGGAGGAGGAGGGAGGGCGGCGAGCCGTGAGCACACGCCAGTACACCAGAGCGTGGATCCCCTCCCCTTTCAGAGAAATTCAACCGGAGCCGCAGAAGCTGCGACACGGATGAGCCGGATCCCCTAAGCTTGCCAGGAAAGCTGATTCCCACCCCACCCCCACGGTTCCCAGAGGAGAGGCCGGTTCATTCCTCCACCACCCGCCCCCCTCCCCCCCGCCAGCCCCTGGACCTCGCCTCTGCTCTGCGGGCGCCCCCCACCCAGCCGCCGGGCTCCTGGGACCCGGCTGGAAAAACTGCGGCGCAGTCAGCCCGAGGCAAAGGGTGGGGGGCAGCCGTTTAATCACAGCTCGCCTCGCCTCCATTAACTTGTGTTGATATTAAAAAGAAATCAATCAGTGAAAATGAAGCGTTGGCTGTGAGTATTTCTCTTTCTCACGTGGAAAAGCAAGGAGCGAGAAGGCGGGGGAGGGGAAGCTGACCGCGCCGGCGACTGCAGAGGTTTCTCCCCAGCGGAGAACCGCAGCGGCGACTTAACTTTCTGGCAGTGGACAGCGTGGAGGAAATGCCGCAAGCCTCTCCCTGGGGGTGTCCTTAGTCAAGAAGGAGGAGGGGACAAGGCTGGAGTTGTTGGAGGCAGCCAGCTTCTCCCAGTCTCGAGCCTCGGTTTTGCTTTCGCTGTAATATTTTTGCTTAATAGAATGTTTATGGATCGTTCGGCTCTGTTTCTGCTGCGTAGCCCAAACAAATCGATGCAGTGTTAGAGACGGCGCTGAGGGGTGGGGCAGGCTGGAGGGCCACCACGTCCCCGCCACGTGGATGCCCGCGCGCCGCGTGCTCCTCACCTGCTCAGGCGCCGGGGCGGGCGCTGGGCGCTGCTAGGAGCCGTGCGAGTTGCGCGCATCCCCGAGGCTAGAGCCGGCTCCCCTCCGCCCCTCTCCGCCCTCGTTCTGAAATCGCACCCTGACTTCCCGCCTCCCAGTTCGGCCAGCGCTCGGATCCCCAGCTCCGGCGGCCCCGGACCTCAGCCCCTCGGAGTCGGCCCTCCAGGGGCGGCCGGGGGAATTCAGCGCAGAGCAGGGCGCGGGAGACAGGAGGGGGCGCTCAGGGCAGGGCCCGCCGGGCTGCCCCGAGCCCCCGAACCCAGGCAGAAGGAGGCAGACAGGCAGGCAGGCGGCGGGTCAGGGAGTGGGGGGCCTGGAGCGCGCAGCCCATGCGGCCTGCCGACCCACCTCCCGCCAGTCCGAGAGGCTGCCGCCGCGGCCGCGGGGTCATTTGCTCAGTCGCTCCCCCTCCTGCACCTTCCGCCCTCCCTTTCCCCTGACTCCTTCTCCGAACGGGTTCCCGCCACCGCGGCCGCCGGCTGGGCTCAGCCCCCTCCCGGCAGGCGCGCACCGGGTGAGTCAGAGGTTTAGTAGGGCCTCGCCCTTTGCCAGCGGCTGCCAGCTCCTCGGGTGCCAATCGGGTGCTCCGACGGGAAGCCCGAGCTCCCCGCGGCTTGCGATCGCCTTTTTGAGAAGCTGGAGAATATCCACCCAGGGCGGGTCCCAGCCCCGTGTTCCACAAGGAGGTCCCACCCCGGGTGCCCGGCTGCCTGCGGCGTCTTAGTGGGTGACCTGCCCCGCGCTCCGCGCCCCTGGGCTTCTCTAGAAGTGACGCAGCGCGGCCCGGGGCTAGGGTGGGAGGGGGCTCTGCGGAGAGCGCGAAAGGCAGGTGGCAGAGCGGGAGTGGGTTCGAGCGGGTGTCGCACGCACACGTACACTCCGCGCAGCGCTCGGGGACAGATGCGCGAACATCTGCGGTAGGAGATGGGTCTGAGTCTTTACGACCCCTCCCGCTCCGCAAAGCACACGGAACCTGAAGTTGGGTGTGTGTGTCCGCGCGCGCGCGCGTGTGTATGTGAGAGCGCGCGCGCGGCGGTGTGTGCCCCGGTGTGCGCGCGCTCGCCGGGGCCTACTAGAGTCCGTGCCTGAACACATAATATACTGTGGGCATCTTCACCGCGTGCGCGCGCGCAAACACACACACACACACACACACAGCGAATCACACAAACATACATAATTTATGCAGCATCTAGGTCTGTGGGAGGTAATTTAATTTCGCTTCAAGCTGGGAACTTAGAATTAAAGCAAGAGGGGATGGGGAGACAAGTGAGACCTGCGCCCATCTCTTTGATCCGATTTGCAGCTGCCCTGAAGACCGGCTATATGGCAGAGAAGGAGCAGCAAACGTGTGATCTGGATAGCAAAGGCGATCCTCAGTCTTCCTTCCCCTCAACTAAACACTCGAGCTTAAATGGGGTGTGTTGGCGGCGAGAGCCAGAGCACCAGGCGAACAGCTTCCCCTCTGGGTTCCCGCAGGACCCCCATGCCGCGGTGATGGAGGGGAGGGGCCCAGGAAGCCGCAGGGGGTTAGCCCTACCCCGGCCGCCCGCCGGCTGTAGCCTTGGAAGTGCCTTCCACTAAGGGCACTTCACGGAAGCTTTATCTCCTCGTTCTCTTTTCCCTGTTTCCTCCATAGATGGTTTCCCCAATCTCAATCACCTGTAGCAGCTTCCAAGAGTTTTGTCAGATTCCCCACGGTTTTCAGAGGGGAGAGAGACACTCTCGGGAGAGTGGTGTGGGGAAGGAAAGGCAAGCCCCACTGGATTCCCTGCACTCAGCGATCCCTTCTCAGGCCGGGTGCCCCTTGCCAGCCCTCCTCCCCGCTGCCAAATACTGGCCCCAAACTGTTCTGGGCCTTGCAGTCCTTATCTCTGCAGTCTGTCCACACACCCTTTTTGGCAGTGGTTGAGAACAAATTCCACTCAAAAGTTTCTAACCACTTCACAAGAGTAAGAGACCTTCGAAGGCGACGCAGTCTGTTTTATCTAATAATAATTTTGAAAAGAACATGATTTACTTTCCCAGAAAACACATGGATGCAGGGAGGAGAGCGGGGACGACCAGCCGCCTTGGTTGCCAGCAGCGCCCAGCCCCAGGCCCCTAGCTCAGCTGCAGGCCCACTCGCTCCATCAGCCTGTGCCCTGTGATTTCCAGGCATATCCACACATTCTGCAAAGAATCCACAGCACTGGAAAACCAAAACTAGACTCTTGTGTTTCCCAAGCCCTTCAGTTAACATTGCTCAATGTAGCTAAGTGGAGAGAATGCAAATGATTTATATTTCACTGGCTAGGTTGAAGAAACTCAAGGGAGATGTGTTCTGCTTCAAGACAGGGGGAAAAAAATCCCCAAAACTGTAATGCAAAGGCTTTGTAGTATTTTTAAACCTTTGATTCAGTCCATATGCGACATCTGAACACCGCCAAATTCTATGTTTCAAAACACACACACACACACACACACACACACTCTCCTAGTAGGGAAGAAAAGTTAGGTTTTAGGAGCAGTGGTGGTGGTGTAGGGAGGGCCGGCTGGGATCTCTCTTTAAATTATTTAGTATAGAGGAAGCCTCTTTCTATGCCATTCCGTGGGGGCCCATATAAGCCGTTGGTTTTAAAGGGAAAAAGCATGTTGAAATGAACAGAAAAACTTTCAGGGGCTTACCTGGTTGGCCTCTCACTTCGTGTCCTGAAAAGTAGAGAGCTAAGAAAACCCAGGTGAGAGGAAACATATCCATTTTGGAGAAGGAGGCTTTCTGAGAGGCTTTCAGAGCTGGATTTGTAGATTTCTTGTATAATTTTAAGTCTTTTTGTTTTCCTCTCTCTTGCTTTCTTCCTTACAGTGTCTTCTGCAAAGGTCTCTAATGGTCAGTGTTTCCCTCCTGGGTCCCGGCGGCCCGTCTTCACCTTATTCCTGCTGGATTCTCACCTCACTAAGAGGAGGGTGGCTCTTGAAATCAGCAACGCGGGAGCAAGCTAGCAAGAGGGGACGGGTTTCCTCTCTTAAAAACAAAACGCATCTATGTCCTCTCCAGTTCCTCAAAGTATCATTTCCTTTATCCTACAACATCACGAAGATTTCCCGGAAGCCAAGCGTAAAAATATATATATAATAATAATGACGATAAAAAGAAAAGCCCAGACTTGGCTTGGGCATCCCACGGTCCCCAGGCAGCTGTGCGATCTCAGAGGCGTAAACTGACACACATCCCCCGGCACCCGGGACCGACGCGCGGGCGGAGGCAGCCACCGCCGGACGGCCGGAGTGGGAGGCGGCCGCCCAGCTCCTGCCGTCGCCGGGTTCCCCTAGCGGGAGCCTCCCCAGCAACTACACCCGCTCGGCCAGCCTGACGAGGGGAGTCAGAGGAAAGAAGCTGCTGCGGCGACGGCGGCGGCGGCTGTGGCTGCTGCGGCTGCTGCTGCTGCTGGCGGGGCGGCGGCGGCGGCGGCTGGGATCGCCTAGGAGTGAGCGAGCCCCTCTCCGAGTTCGCTCGCGCCCGCCCTCACCTCCACCTCGCCCAGCGCCTCGCCGAGGTCTGCGCGTCTGAGGATGTGCCGGGGGCGGGCTTCGGGCTAGTGCCTCGCTCGCCTTCTCTGCTTCCCCTCCGGCTCCCCCCAGCCTTTTCAGGCCGAGCCGCATGTGGATGTCAGAGCCGCGGCAGAGCTATCCGATTACGCGCCGGCTCTGGGCCCGCCCCTTCTGTGTTCCTGATTAAAGAGGCAGCCGCGGAGACGCGCGGCGCACAAATCAGCGCCGCGGCACGGGGCTCGGGCGGGGCGGCGGCGGCTCCCCCCCCCACCCGCCCAGCGGCGGCCCGATCAAAGTTGAGGCGGCTCCCATCCAGCCGCTCCTCTGCCACCCGCACCTCCCGCCCACCCCGGGCACCTCCCGCCCACCCCGGGCACCTCCGCGCCCGGCTGCGCCCGGCCGCCCGCGCGCAATGCCCAGGAGAGGGAGCGCTCCGGGGCACCTCCGGGGCGCACTGCCCTTGGCCGCGCCGTCCCCGCCCGCCGGAGACTCCGCAGGAAATGCGGGCAATCCCTGCCCCCCAACCCAAATTCCCGAGCTCCGAGGCCACACACGTAGGAGGCAGCACAATGCCACGCGCAATGGCGTTACAAGAGGAGTTGGGTGGCGTGCGGTGTTTAGGGAACCAGGCGGCGGCTCAGCCATGCGTTCGCACCGGCAGCAGTGCGTGGCGGCGACACACACGGCCGGCCCCGGCTGAATACGACCCCAAACACTCGTGCGTTTACTACTCGGGTCCTTTGTTGTGTCCCAAACAGACTCCTCTGCTCGCTGGGTAAGGGTTCAGTTCTCCCTGCGCGCCTAACTCGTAACTATCAGAAGAAGAGAGACTTTATGCCAAGAATTTTTCAGGTAATTAAAATGGATTCCCCCCCAATCGTCCCCCAAAGTACGGGTACGTGAAGGCTTCTCCTCCGAATGCTACTGTAGCTACTTCTATTCACCTTTCCCCCAGGGAAATGTGGTCACAGCGCGCCCGAGAAAGAAAACAGCATTATGCCACCTATTTTTAAATGGAGGTGTGAAAACTGTTTAGAGGGAGTTGTAAGCTAACAGCTGGGGAAACACTTGTATCTTTGTTTCTGAGGATGGCTTTGTGGATTCCAAACTGTCTTGCTTCACTAAGCACCTATTACTACATTATCCTAAAGACTCCAACAAGAACAGTCGAAATAACACTGGCATGTACCTTCTCTGCCACTCGGCTGATGAAGAAAAATAAAGTTTCGGTGACAAGAAGCACACACACATCTGAAGATCCCATTTATTTCTTTGCTTGTACTTGTGGATTCTTCTGGGTGGTTTTCCTCCTTATCTGGACTTGCCATTAGCTTTGTTTATCACTTTTAGTGTTTGAAAAATCTGTAACTCCCACTTAACTGTTATTTACACTGAGATAACCAAAACAAAATTGAATCAGAAGTGATTTGCAATAGTTGAGCCAAGCCACGGAGGGATTTTACAGTGCTGTGTAAATCCACGGACCCCGTATCACACTGTTAATCTCAGATGCCTGGTTTGAAAGGGTATTTAACAGAGGCCTAGTGAGTTCTTCCAGGGACCATAACCCCTGGCTGGCCCAAAGGCTACCTTTCATTCCTTTCATCCCCCACCCCCAACCCTCTCTCTTCCTTCATGCCCTCCTTATTCCCTTGGCTTGAGAGCACATCTACGTTATTAAAAACTCCAGATTTACTTTTTTCCCCCTGTTTAAACATCAACTGTCAAGAAAGACCACCCCTCCCCAGTATTTAATAGGAGAAAGAGGCAGTCTGGATTTTGAACCTTCAGTAGAGATCCCAGCTTCTGTCCTTGCCAAGACGCTAACCTAAGGACAAGAAACACTACTATCTCTAGAGACACAACCTGTATAAAGAAAGTCACTTAGCATCACCTCCCCCCACGACTCACCAGGGGTACCAAGCCATTTGTGCTAATAAGTGCCCCACATGGAAGAATCCTGTTTCTGAGACCATTACAGCCAGGGTTTCGGTGAATGGCACAGGGAGGAGGAGGAGGAGAGAGAGAGAAAAGGTACTCTAAAACCCATTGGGAAAGCATAAGAATGGCAGCTCTGGGCTCCTGCTCTTGGGGGTCCTGCTCAGGCAGCTTCAAGGGTCCTTGGTCTGGTAGGGAGAAGGGTCAGTTTTGGTGTTCTGTTCCTGGACCTGATTCCCAGCATTATGGGTTTTAATTTTTCAGAGGTGTCCTAAAGAGGGAGCTAACTTACTTCCTGGCAGTCCTCAGCGCGACTGCTGCAAGACTTCTCATCAATCCACCCGAGGGAAGTCCTGATTTCCTGCAGTTGGGTAGAGGGTGAGCCTGGTTCAGAACCCTGGGGACTCCAGGCGGCCGGCCAGCTTGTAATCCTCTAGGGGGCAGCACTCAATAAATAATGCGAATTCTACCTGCCATAGCGCTTCTGACCACGGTGCGTTTACTCCCCGGAGCTCAAAACACTTTATTAGACCAGGAAAGAGAGAGAGACCGGATCTCCCCACCAGACCACGCTGAACAAGAGCCCACGGGCCCAGGGAGGACTTAGAATTTCTTTAATCCAGGACTTCCAAGGACTAAACACAAATCTCACGTGGGCCTGATGAAAAAGAAATCTCCAGGGAAATTCTCCAGCCTGGGACTGGCTCAGACCTGCCAGCCCATTTTTGTCTAGACTTGGACTCTCAGGGGTTTGGCTGTAGTTGGCTTAGTTTCGACCAGAGGTTCAGCGGTGAGGAGCTAGGGTCTGTACTATTCATTATTTTGGGAGTCCGCAAACACTGCCTGCTAAAGGACGAGTAGTGTGGATAGAAATGATGGGCTTGTTGAGAGAAAACACTGAACCAACCAGAAATCAGCTAACCAGTGAGTCTGAGATTCCTGGCAGCGTCACTGACTCACCTGGGATGATTCACATCATTATCCTTAATTGTGAAATAATAATAGATAATCCCATCCTACATTCCATTCCTTTGACAGGAAGGGATGTGGGGAACATAAACAGATTTGTAAAAGATGCTAAGAGAAAGCTGTAACCTGGCCACACCCCAGTGGAAAGTTGGGTGTTCCCAGCTAGACACCCCACACCTGAGGGCCAGGGCACATCAGAATCACCCAGGGTAACTGTTAAAAATTCAGATCTCTGGGCACCATCTTCCTGCAAATCAGATTCCTTGGATCTAGGGTGGTGTCTGGGAATCTCGATTTTTCGACACATTTTAGGTGATTCTGATGCAAATGCGCAGCTGGCCAGCCATTGGAAACCTCTGTTCTGAGGTGTTATACTTACACAAGCCTTCCATGTATGTACTCCCATCAAAGGATACCTGGATAAGTGTTTCTCCACATTTTTTTCTCCAGGCACTTTTCAGATAGGGGGTAGATGTTTCAAGGAAAACATTGGAAAAAGCCTCCAAGAACATGTCTCTTAAAATGACAGAGCGGTGGTATTCCCAGCTTTACCTTGTGACATTTATTTAGCAGCAAAAGCAAAGAGCTTCTTGAAAGCACCAAGAGCCTCTACATCTCGGGAGCAGGAGGTTTGCAAGAACATGTTCAAAGTGCTAGCTGCTGGGGTTTATGGAGCTGGATCCAGCCCTTTCAGCGCCAACCCACTCAACCAATTGGTTGTTACTAGAGGTTTGTTTCAGGTATGGTTTTCCATCTGTGTTCATCACATTGTACTTATTAAATGCTCATGGAAGCATGACTATGCAGGAGGTGTGCAGGCAAATAAGACATTTGGGTCTTGCCTCCTGGGAACACGGAATCCAAAGGCTCCAGAAGTTTCGTGCTTCCACCCACAATAGAAGCCACCTGTCACATGGTGCTTCCCCTTATCTGAGCACCGCCGCCGATAAGCTCTCACCCTGAAAGGGGGAGATACCAGGCATAATTGCGTCTTAATCTGTAATTTACTACATTGTCCTGGTTAATATTTAGCTACATCTGTCTCAGAGGCAAAGCCTCAGTTAAGTTAAAAATAAGTCCTCATTTTTTATCCTCTCTTTTGTTTGAAGTGAAGTCCAGGTTTCTGGTCAATAGGTTTTGGGTTTTTTTTTCCTCCACTCACTTCTTAAACAATGTTTTTCTTTGATTCAATACATTTGAATATTACTTAGTAGTTTCTACTTGATCTGACCTTCGGTGGGTTCCCAGAATCTTTACAGACTTCCATAAAATATCAAAATCTCCTTTACTCTAAATTGTGTCTATCTTTCATCTCTTTTTTGGGCATGGACACTAGATCAGGTAGGACGGAACCTTACAAGTGGAAAAAAACAAAACAGTAAGCAAAATGTGCAAAATTCACTCAAATATCCCGGAATCCTTGGCAAAGGAAACTAAAGGAGGCACATCGCTCCTTCTAGTCTGCTCGGCTTAATGAGGCTGATCTCCCTCGGCCACACTGATTTTTGAACATTTGAGGCACCAGGATCCCCATCAACCCTTCTCTTCAGAACAGAATCCTCCAATACAACTTTAGGCAACGAAGGAGCTATATCTGTGCTTTTCCCATGGCGAACGAGCCTTTGAAATGTGCCTCATGTGACTGGAGAGCTGAATTTTAAATTGTATTTAACTTCCTTAAACATGTTTCGGATCCCCTCAAAAAAATACAGATTCCGTTTGTGTCTAGCGGCTCCCATGGGAGACAGCTCAGCTCTAGATACTCGAACACCAGAGCTGGAGATTTCCCGCAGAAGCCCAGAGACCGGCATGTAGTCGGTCTATGCGAGTCGCTGAGGCTACTTTGCTTGCTCACCAAAAAGGGAATCCCAGTATGAACAGAAGCATCATTTGAAAATGTTTGGTGTCTGTTTGGCAAGGAGAGAAGGGCTGGATCATATTAT